GGTAGTCACACCTCTAAAGTAACCCTTGTCCCAGATGATATAAATGCTTCTCCAGCACAACCTGGTGTTTCTGCCTCCTCCTTTTCTGGCATCTGACAAGACTAAATGGTGCTATTGGTATTGGAATCATGCCCATGACACCAAAGATTGTATCGGCTTTAGCCATGATTGTCCAAAATCTTATTTATAAAGTTGGGTGCATAATAGCGAAGGTTCAGTCATAATTCTGATCTGATCAAAAGATGGGTATATATGCTAACTTTTTGCCTAACAATAATCCTATCCAGCTTAAGGTAGCCAAAGTCGCACCTCTAGTGTTTGGAATTGAAAATCCCTAAGGAATAACTATCATAGTAATTGTCGAATTCGACCAGGAAGTAGAAGATCCTAGCTCGTTCATTGTTCTTGGTGATGACTTTCTCACACCTTCTCCGCAACGGTCTAAAGTAGAAGATGGATCCAAACATTTAATGTCCCAAATAACTGCTTTTTAATTTTTTTGAAGTGGGAGAAGCGTGCAAGTCTTGGTGTCTAAACCCACTCCTAAGGGGGAGATTCATTCAAATGTATCCAAACCCCGACTTTTTTTATTTTTATGTAAATGGGAGAAGTATTCGGATATTGGGTATTGGAACCCAAGGTAATTGGGGTATAAAAAAGACGAGAAAATGGGACCTTTGCATAAACATAATATATATATATATATATATATGAAAAATGGCTTCTGTGAGCCAATGGGCTTATAAGAAAAAATAAGGCCAATGGCCCAGATTGAATCTAGACCAATCGAACGATCATGGATACCCGATGGTGTTTTAATTTTAATTTTTTTTTTTCTACAAATCCAAATCACATGAAATTTTAGACGTGTATTGATAAAAAATACGTGAATATTTTAAAAATATTAAAAAACATATTTTACATTAAAATAAATGACCAAAATACCCCCATAAGTTTTCGGTGGTATTTTGGTAATTTTTAATTTTACAGATTTTTTTATATATATATTTTTATTAGGTGCGTCTTGATGAGAATAACATTCACCTAAAATTTCAAGTGATTTGGATTTGAAGAAAAAAAAACTAAAATTCAAATACTCTCGGCTGTCATATCGGTCTAGATTCAATATGGGCCATTGGGCTTATACTATTATGTGAGCTAGTGGACTCACCCTAGCATCTTCCCATATATATATATATATATATATATATATATATATAGGATTAGCCCACAAGCTCATATGAATATATGAGCCCAAAGGCCCGGATTGAATCTAAGCCGATTTGATGATTACGAATGTCCGGTAGTGCTTGAATTTTATTTTTTTCTACAAATCCAAATAAATTAAAATTTTAGGTGTATATTTTTATTATCAAGGCGTACCTAATAGAGATATAAAAAAAATTATTCGTAAAAAAACAAATGACTAAAATACCTCTCAAAACATTTCAGGGGTATTTTGGTCAATCTATTTCATGTAAACTATTTTTTGATATTTTTCGAAGATTCACCTATTTTTGATGAACACACTCCTAAAATTTCAAGTGATTTGGATTTGTAGAAAAATAAATAAAATTCAAATACTACTGGATATCCATGATCGTCAGATCGACCCAGAATCAATCTGGAACGTTAGGTTTATATGTTCATATGAGTTAGTGGGCTAATCTCTCTCTCTCTTGTTTAGACCAAACTACCTATTGTTTAGACCAAGGTCTTCATTTTTTTAGTGAAACACCAGTTTAGGCGTTAGATGTTTGATACAGGTGTTTTGTAATCAGGCATGTCCAATACTTGAATCAATTTTTCACTCTTTCGCTCAATATAAAATATATAAGTGGTCTTATTCAAACATTGGATGCCCAAACATATCCTCTTGTTAACTTTTTTAAGCAAAGAGCAGTTTGAACATTGGATTTTATTTTTATTTTTAACAATTGTTGAACATTGGATATTTAAACCGATCTTTTATTCTAAAAAGAAAAAAACCCTACTTTAAGGTTGGATATCCCAATTAACCCATTTATTGAATGAATAAAAATGAAAAAAGCATAGAAGCAAACCAAAGGCCAAGGTGATCATGGTAACGAGGTGCCATAACACGACATCTTGGGTTCCATTTCTGCCCTATTAACGGCTCATATACTCTGAAACTAAAATTTCATGACGTTTCAATTCAAACTAACTTAAAAACCTTAAATGAGTTATTATGTGTCCTGTTTTTTAATGATAGGGTAGGAATGGAACACATTTCTATATTAAATTATAAAAGGCATTATGCTCTCTTGTTTTTAACATTAACAATGTAGCACAAGATGACATGTTTTGCTGTTAAAAAGAAACACTCTATCATTTTGTCAGGCCATAATTTATTTCCTCATGATCAAAATGTATTTGCTCATGGAAAGGTTAGTGAGCTGAATCAGACAACTCCTCATCCTTGTGTTGCTAATTCGCAAGAGTAATTTTCAATTAGGCTCACAATCATAAATTAAATACCAGCTCAGCTAATCAAACATTCAAAAAAAGGACCAACTTTTCCCTAAGGAAACTCAAGAAGATAATATAATATACTTCTTGAAATGGTAGACTGCTCTCAAATGCTAACATCATTTGGCAACATTATTTGGCTTTTATGTACCATGAATTTTTCAATTTTAGATTATACTATCATTATTACTCTAATATTACCAAATAAGATCTTATCATCAATCGATTCATCATTTCTAGAATTATGTGCAAGTAATTATCTCTTTCAAGGACTGTTGATTTGAAATTTCAAAACAACTCAGAGAGACTTCGAGTTTTCATTTTTCAGATTTTGACTCATTATACGATCAAGGAAGACCTTATACTAACCATCTATCAATTCACCATGTATACCAAGCTATCTGGATTTTGTGAATGGCTTTCCAACCATCCAGTGTTTTACAGAGACCGAAGATGTAAGGATCGTTAATAGTTCTATTTCATGGTTTGGGGACTATTGGTTTAAAATCTCGAAAACAGTTCGAATTCCGTAATTAGTGATCATTTTCTGAATTCATGGTCCCTATCAATCTTCAAAGCCAGGTACGTCTTTTTTATAAGTGAGACTGGTTCAGAGTATGTGAACAAGGGTAATTTCAATAGTGAAAGAAAAACATGAAGAAGAGGAACCTGAGCTTAAAATATAAAATATTTAAAGTCATTTTTCATATTAAAAAATATATACTTTTTATAAATTTCCCTAAAATAAATATCAAAATATTTATTTATTTATTCATCATTAAATAGAAAATGCATCAATAAAATATACAATTACAAATAATAGACTAACTATTTAACATATTACCAATATCTTTTGATTTAATTGTAAAATACTCATCAAAATGCACATCATGAATTATAATAATTGAAAGAATGAGCTATTAATTTGTCTAAAAATCAGATATATATGGTAGAATTTCCCTTTTTTAATTTTCAATATATTTGACTTTTTAGAAAAATTAAAAACAATGGTCTCATGCGAGCTGGACTGCATATCTACAGAGGTATAAAGCAACCATCTTAAAGATGGAAGCAAATAGGCAGTCCACCTAAAAACAATTGTAACCAACAGTTTAAATGTTTTTTTAATATAATCATTATTTCTAGTTTTAAAATTTTACTTCTTTTTTTTTTTTTATGCTCTCTATTATATATTTTCTAAAAATTATGATCAAAAAGTATTTATAAAATATATTTATTGCCAAGCCCACATTTCCACAATATATAACGGCATCTTATTAGAAAAACCATTCACTTTTAATACATGGTTACAATCATTCTTAACCATTAATAACTTAATTTATATCACATATTTCAAAAAATTATATTTTAGCCATTGATCCTAATCAATGACAACGTTCCACTATCTCATTTATGTTCTAATATGTAATAATAATTGTGATCTTTTTGGGATGAATGTGATTGCGACTTTCTAACACCAAGAATAAATAGTCTTTTTCTAGATATTTCTAAACATAGACGTTTCCAAACAAGGAAACTAAAACATAAAATACATTTTAAGGCATATCAATAAATTAATTAAATTTTAAAACAAAATGACTAAACAGAAGAATATCATAAAACCAAAGGTAGTTTCAATGATTCCAAGGGGTGCTTCAAAAAGTCCTCTTTTTCTTTCCCTTTTTTCTTTTACTTTTCATTTTCTTAATTTTTTTTAAAAAAATTTATCAAAAACTACATATAAAAGATTAATTATTTAAATTTTTAACACATCTTTTAATTTTAAGAAAATGAGTAATGTTTTTACATGACCCAACAACATATAAATTACATGTGACCCCAAATTTTAACCGTTCAATTCATCGATCTGAATCTGACGACTACGATTGCTCAAATCACAATGGTCAAGCCAAACACTGTTTTATTTTTCATTTCTTTTCTACAAAACATTTTTTGTTGAAATTTTGAACATCCATCATAAAATTAAGAAAAACTAAGAAAATATTTAAAAATATATATCTGATATAAAAACAAATGACAAAATACCCCCACAACTTTCAAAGTTATTCTAGTAATTTTTCACGAGAAAAAATTTATATTATCGTTATCATGTGCAACCCTGCTAAATCCACGCATGCAACAAATTTTGCTTCAAAATTATTTGCAAATAAAAATAAAAGACGAAAACATTATGAACCGTCTTATCAAGATTTAATGGTTAAGAGCTAATTTGACTCGAACCATCTCAGCCATCCTACCACTTAAACGTGACAAACGTGACAGGTGAGGCCAGGGGTCAGCAATATTGCATATGTGAGTGGGGTCACTCAGAGAGCTCCCTCTGCTTGGCAAAGGAAAAGGTGGTTGGTGAGGCCCGTGATTTGCCACCCACCCAAAATGAAGGAAACTTGGCATTATTATTATTATTATTATTATTACTAGGTATTTTAGGTGAAGGAATATTGGTATGATATTATTATTTTTAATAGGCATCTTTTCCCAAGTCCCAATTCCTGTCCCAAACATTACAAGCATTACAATAACAAACAATATTCAAGTCTCTTCAACAATGTGTCACCCACTCATCATTTTTTCTTCACTTATTGAGGCAGCTTCAAGAGAACTACGGTTGCACACACACTCACTCCCTCCCTATTGAGGCAGCTTCAAGAGAACTACGGTTGCACACACACTCACTCCCTCCCTCTCTCTCTCTCTCTCACTACAATGGAATGGAATGCAACTCAGGTGCAATGCAAAAAATGACCCTAATTTAGAGGAAGAAAGAGACCTGAAACCAAAGAGCAGAGAAAGGAAAACCCAAATAAAATAAGCAAATCTAAGAAGAACACCAACACCCCTAATATAGGAAGATGAAAGGACGTTTCTCTCTGTCTGCTCTCATGGCTTCCAGAGAACGGTGGTCTCCGCAATCTTGGAAGTGACCACATAAGGATCCATGTTTGAGGCAGGCCTCCTGTCCTCAAAGTATCCTGCACAATAGATGGTGCTCATGCAATTTAGTCTCACTAAACCACCTTCGAAATACAATAAGTCGCATGTATCAGACGAAGTAAAAGAAATGGATTACAGACGCCAAAATCGATTCTCTCTCTAATCAGAAGAAAGAGATGGCAAAAACATGAATAATGTTGCATAATTTTTATCAATCCACCTATCTATTCATCATCTAGAGGGAGAGAGAGCCTGATAAGCACTCACCCTTGCCTTCGCGCTCAGTCTCCCGGCCAACACGGATTGAGGCACCACGATTAGCGACACCCTGAAATTTGAGAGGCATAAATGAAATTCTTTTATTTCAAGGATCCAAACACATTCCCGTTATTCTCTAAATAAAAATAAATTAACCACAAGTTGAGGCCCTACCCATGAGAAAGTGTTGATATCTGCAGTCTCATGACGTCCAGTTAATCGCCTCTCATTCCCTTCACCATATGCAGCAATGTGTTCCTTGTGCCTCAAACCAAGTTTCTCAATTGCCTTCTTGATGACATCGAATCCACCATCACTCCTCATGGATTTGGTGCTAAGGTAAACAACACAACACAAAATTAACACGGCACCCTGAAAGAAGAAACAGGGACAAAGAGCCAAGGATCTTCCTGGGATTATCAATGAAAATAAATGCTAAGCTCACCTGTAATTGGAATGGCAACCAGCTCCATTCCAATCTCCCTGATACCAGCAAATTAATAAAGAATTATAACCCAAGCTCAATCGAACCCATAATGGAAAAACTCATTTCTAAAAACAAATTTATCAAAGAACTCCTTATATATTTACTTGATAATTACTAATGAATAAAGGAGAAATCTGAGTTCACTTTTCAATCCTCTCTGTAAATAATATCCTAGAAGTGTGGAAAAGCTAGGAAGAACAAACTGACCGGAATAGGCTTCGGATCAAAAGAGACAACAACTCCTGCAATCTCTGCAATCCTCTGTTTCAACACAAAAACAACAAGGTTTATAAGAAAACGCCCACGAACTAAACCAATAAGCCCTGGCTAAATATAAATGGATTATGGGGGAGGTGCTTTACCTCAAGAATGTAACGAGCAACCCATATTTGATCGCCTGATGAAATCCCAACAGAAGGACCAACTTGAAATTCCCACTAGCAAAAGGAGAAAAAGGCAGAGACCCAATTAAGACGAAATTGTGATTGAATTACACCAATAAGTAGAGAAAAACAAAAAAAGAAAGGCATGGGTAAATTTTCACCTGGCCAGGCATGACCTCGCCATTGATTCCACTCATGTTAATGCCAGCATACAAACAGGCTTTGTAGTGCGCATTAACAATGTCACGCCCAAACGCCTTGTCAGCACCAATCCCACAGTAGTATGGGCCCTGAAACCAAATGCACTTTTTGATTAACATCGAAATAATACTACCATGTTCCTTCAACCCAAATAAAGTTGGAATAGAGCCGAGGCTCTAAACAATCAAAGTAAAGTGCACTTTCAAATAGGGTCGAGAAATGTGGTTTTAATACTAAAAATCTTTGTGATACCTTAAAATATATTTTCATCCTTAATTAGAAAATTTAAAGCTTCAAAAATAGTATAGAAACGGCAGATCTATGAAAACTTGAAAATTAACGATCCAAAAATGCGTTACAAGATGCATTATTTCCAAAATTTGAAATCCATTTCTTTCTCGTGTCCAAGCATCTTGATGTCGAGATCATCAATTTGAGGATACTTGGGCATCAAAACAACCTCTTCAAGTAAAATTTTTGAGGTGGGCTGTAGCTTGATTGTAGCCTGAGCTCTATATAAACTTTTTCCAATAAAGTTTGCCTTTTCATCCATAGATGAAAAACAAAAGGTATTTTTTAATGGGTGTGGTTTCAATAAGGTTGCAACCTTCAACAATCCAATTATGGTGCACCTGTAAATTTTATCATAAATATAATTTTGGTATAAAAAATTCTTAGGATGGCTTGAAAATCTATTGTCATCTCTAATTATAAAACTTTATACTATAAAAGTTCAAATCAAGTAGATCTATAAACACATGAAAATTTTGAAAATGGACGGTCCATATAATGTGTTGCAAGATACAGCATTTTTTAGACTTGAGACCTTTTTTTTCTTTTTATATTCAGACATCTCGACGTCGAGATGATCAGCTTTCCAACATCAAAACAATCTCCAACGATGGATTTTTTAAGTGCACCTTTAATTCTACATTTCAAGGTAGCAACCTTATATAAACTTTTTCCTTTTTCAATTAGATATAGCACATCAAAATACAGCAATTCCTGACGTGAAAAAAGGGCAGCTTAGAGAGCAGTGCTCCGGAGACTCAGCCAAGGTCCGCGGTCCCTTAGAGAGCAGTGATCCGGACTCGACTCGGCATTTGGTAGCCTTTTAAGGCAAGGGAGTAACTAGGGCGAGTCTGGCAACTCTGGTAGAGAGATATAAGACGAGCAAAACCAAATTTTTTCCACAATAAAAAGTAGATCTATAATTAGCTATGAAGTACACAGCAAGAGGAGGATATAAAGTACACAGAATGTAAATACAAATGCAATGAGAGTGAGAAAACGTTTGGTGTGGCACCTGAGGACCAGGGAAGCCACCAATGGGCCACCCAATGGGCCAGTTAGTATCCTTCTGGAGAAGGGTATACTCCTGCTCAATACCATACCTGGATTTCACAGTCATGGACCAGCACATAAGGAAATAAGATCACCAAATAAACCCAACCAAAAGATAAAAGGAAAAGGAAAAAGAAATTGAATCACAGGAAATGGGTTTTTCTCTGGGTACTAAGAAAAGGGCAAGTAGATTATAATTAATTATTAATAATAAATACCAGGGTTCCTCTGCAACAACATCTGGATGGCTGAAAATCTTTGCAGCGTTATATCTTTTGTTTGTGGGGATCGGCTCACCAGCTGGTGTATAGGCGTCACACATAACCTGCAAATACCAAAAAAAAAATCAAAAAAAAGGGTAAAGATAAAGGGAAAAAGTGGGGGAAAAATTATGGTATCTAATAACAGAATATACATCTAAAAATAGACAAAATGACAAAAAAAATAAGGATAAATACTCACAAGAATGTTCTTCCCTCTTCTAAATGGGTCTGGGAAAATAGCTTGTGGACTGGACATTAAAAAACACAGAACCCCCACTAACGTGTATATGAGAGAAAGATAGAGGTGAGAGATGCCTGTAAACATAAAAATATGAAAGAGAAATATCCCGAAAACGAAAAAGCCTGAGAACTTACTACAAAATCACTTCACTATCTTCACCAGGCGCTTGGCCAGTGCTCGACCCATCGTAATTCCATTTCGGAAGCTTCGAAGGATCATTCTCAGGTCCAGAAAGTGTCTGGAAAAAAAAATTTGCCCAAAAATCCAATCACCAAAACTATAAAAAAAAAATTCCAATAGAAACAATCCATTCTCTATCTAATCATATCTCCCTCCAAAAAAAATCTACAAATCTGATTACCCTTCCTTTGCTCCTCAAATCCATGCCCGACCCACCAATCCTGTCATCAAAAAAGCCCGAAAATCACACAAAAGATCACAGAAAAAAAACTCAAAAAAATACACCAAACAATATAAAAAAATAAAAAAAAATAGCCAGAAAAAAAAAACCTACCATATGTATTCTGCAATCACCTTCTCAGTTGAATCAGAGAGGTTAAGGTTTATCAGATCAGTGAGAAGAGACATGGTGAAAAAAGAAACTAAGAACCAAGAGTAAAAAGAGAAGAAACTCTACAAGCTCTCTCTCTCTCTAAAAATCACAGGCGAGGGAGGAGGAGATCACAGGAGACGAGGGGCTTTTATTGGGCTCACCGTCGTGGACTCTGATGAACAAAATTAGTAATTAAGCAACTAATAATAAACAAGTAATTATCTCATTAAAAAATAACCAAAAACCAAGGACTAAATTTAATCCAAAAAAAACGTCTCCACCACGGCTATCTAACCACGGTTAAATTTCAACCCAAGAGTCGTGTCAAACTGCACTGATTCAGCCGGTAATTTGAGACCGTGCGTAACATGAAGTCAGCGGTTAAGGACAGACACGTGGCGGTTGAGGACTTGCTGACCGGGCCAGCCGGTTTGGGGTGGTACGCCAAGAGTCGGGCCCACGAGACTTGGGAACTCCAATCAAAGTCGAGGTAAACGCACGGCGTGGATTCGAAATGGGATTCTCGATACGACCGCCGGATGGGAACGTGAGCAATCCAGACCGAACACGTGTCATATAGAGAGCGCGTGCAGGTTAGGGTTTCGCACTGCACTTGTCTACGGCGTGCGACGATTTTCCACCCGCTCGTGGAATGGCCCCGCTGCATGACCACCCGACATGAGAATGACCCGAAATTTCGGCACAGAAACGAAATTCTCAGATTTCGTTGAATTCTTAGAAGCTCTTGGGGAAAGGCGGGCCTCGACTTCAATCAAACCAGTTTGCTTTGAGTAGTGGTGGACAACTTAGATCTGTGTGGCGCATTTTGGATTAAGTAACGTAACCCATATACGTACCGTAAACATTAACTTATGGGTCTCATCAATTATTTTTTCATTCTTTTTATCTCTTTTATTTTTAATTTTTTTTATGTCTATCTATTTATTAGCTCTCTAATTATTATTTTTTATATTTATATCTTCTTTCACTCTCTATTTTTTTTTTATCACTTTTTTCTCTCTACAATCTCATCATGGTTTCCTTAAAAAGAGTAATCAAATATTGACTTTGGCTATAAAAAACAGAGGACATGATATATCTAAAGAAATGATTATGAGATTGTAGAGAGTGAAAGAAAAGAAAAATATTAAAAGAATCAAAGAGGGAAAGAAAAGATAAACATAAAAGGAATTAAAGATAAAAAAAGATAAATATAAACACAATGAGAAAAAGATTTATGGCATTTTAAAAGACGTATAAGATGGATGGGTTAGTTTCAATGATACTTAAAATGTTATATAATGTGTTTTAGTTTTTACGGTACTTAAAATACCGTAATTGGCTTCACGGTCATGGCTAGAGTTTTACAGTACTTTATTACTTGAAGCTCCTACAGTATTTTAAATATAGTATAAAATGATATGTATAATGTTAGTAAGATTACCGTAAAGATCATTTTGGTCCAAAAAAAGTAGAAAATGCGAAAAAAATATAGACGAGGTAAATAAAAGTTTTTGGGTTTTTTTCAATTAAGTTTAAATTAAAGTATATTTGCAATAATTTTCCAATCTTCTACCTCCTAACCACTTTAAACTTATTTTTAACCTAAACAAATGTGAGAAAGACATATTCTTTTTAAACCCAATCATTTCTCTTTTTTCACTTATATACCCTAAACTTCTTTCTTTCTCTCTTTTTTTTAGTCTTTCACTCTCTTTTCACTCTCTTCTACCTGTGTTTTTCCAAATACCTATCTCTTTCCTCCCGATAATCTCTCACCTTCATGGAGCCCTTCTCTTTCTCTAGAAGTTTGGGACGAGGGCTTTTAGAAATGCATGTCTTTTTAGATTTGTTTGGCCTAAAAAAACATGTTGAAATTAGCTTGAGGGGTTAGAAGAAATAAAATCTACAATTTTTATGCTCCAAGATATCTTTTAAAACCTTGAGTCTATCGTGAAATGAAACCTAAAAATAAGGGATAGGAGATATTTCCCCTAAAATTTAAAATATGGATTTATAAGATTGGGATATAAAGAGGAAAAACAAATTTAATAGTTTAAAAATAAAAAATAAGGAAAATTATGAGCCCCAATAATTTTAGTATCGGACCCATAATCCTATCATTTTTTCTTTTTTTGCTTTTACCCCAAATTCAAAAAATAAATATTTTAAAAACTCACTACCCCAAGTGACATATTTCTATCTACTTACCCTTTTTCTCTGTTTTGCTTTCTCGACCTAGTCCCTTTCTTTTTTTTTCTATCCACGGCGGATAGAAAAAGAAAGAGAGAGAAGGTGAGAGAGAGAGATTTGATTAGGGTAATTCAAACTAATCCCGAAAATGGGAGAAGAACAATAATAATAAATAAAATAATAAGAATCAAAGCTCTTGGGTCTTAGACTCATAGTGCCTATCCATCAAATCCCATATGGATATGCCAATTCAGATCCAAATTACACTTTCCGAAAACCCTTGATATAACCCAACGGAACGGGTCGGTCCATTGCCCCTTTACAACAGTACGGGTAGGTGCACGGAAAATGCATGTGTTAAGCCAAAAAAAAAAATTGCTGGAAATGATTGAGCCCAAAAAAAGGGGGCAAAAGATACGAAAATAAATAGATAATTACAATATTAGATAATGTTGTTTCCTTATTTGTGGAAATAAGGTTGCAATGCTCTACACTCTCTATTTTATTTGGGCGATGTAGATTTGATTTATGTCTTAAAATAATATCAATATATGACATGTTTTTTAAGAAAGTGTCCAATCTGTACCGTTTTAATAAAATTGACAATGCAGATTACTGTAACCATATTTCAACCACTAAGGTTGCAATTATATATAAATTGTTTCCTTATTCATTTCTTAAAAGAAATATGTATTTGAAATTAATAGTTATTATGTTCATCATTTTAAAAATAATGATGGTTTCCTCTATTTTTTTAGTTTTTTTTAATTATTAACGGATATCATGAACATCAAACTGCTATGTAATTGTTTCATTGGGTTCCATTCGAGATATTATGGAGCAAAACCATGTTATCTCATTTCAAACCCTACAAACGTTATATTAATTAGTGTTTATGCACTTGGGCAGATCTCGAATGAGTTCTCCTAAAATTATGCCAAACGAGTTAAATATGAATAGATCAATAGAGAAGTGGGGGCAGATGAATTACAAATTCAAAACCAATATGGATCTGGGTAGATATGACCCCTTCTGAATCTGATGGCAGCGCCAACTGAAATCTCACCCTAGATAAATATAAAAGCTTAAATTCTAAATTAAACTAGGAAATCAAGAAAAAAACATGAAATAAAAAATTAAATAAAAGAAGATGAAGATATCACTTACTTGAGAAAACCCAGAGTCGGGGCATGTACCAGGACTGGAATAATTAACTTTAAATATTTTGGATCCAAGAGATCCTACTCTGAAGATTTTGATTTTTTGGGATTTTTCGATCATTTTTTTCAAAGGATTTTGACGTAGAGATTCTAACTTATGGGTTTTACTATGATTTTACTAATATTTTAGGCTCCTAATTTCTAAGGGAAATTTTTAGGATTTTCTAGGGATTTTTACTATTTCTATGGTATTTTCTAGTTTTTCAAATGATTTGAGATTTTTAGATGAATTTCCTATAGGGAATTAGAGGGGTTTATATAGGTTTGGGTTCTAAGCATTTTCTACCAAATGCCTCTAGAAAAATCCAAAAGTCTCTGCCATTTTCTAGATATTCATTTGGTCAGAAAATTTGCTAAGGTCGTCGAGATGCGTGCAGTCTGAACAGACCGTCGCACAATAACTGATAGGAATTTCTGGCAACAAATATTTTCAATCCATAACTTTCAAATCATAAGTTAGATTCGGACAAGGTTTGGACCATTGGAAAACTTGCGACGTCATTTACAATTTGGAATCAAATTTGGTCCAATTTGAGTAGTTTTTTAGGTGTTTATAAAGATAGGACTTCAGTGTGTCAATTTCAAGTTTCTAGATGTCGAATTGGTATTTTGGTCAGTTTTCTATGTTTATTAAGCTCAAGGGTGTATTAGTAAGCTTAAAGTCTAGGTTTTAAATATACAAAGGTCAATATGGAAACCAATGTCCTGAAAGTGGATAATTTCCCTTAGGAAACTAATATTATGAAAATAGGCGAAGGCCTTGGATTCGGTTTTAGCCAAGCCGAGTCACTTGGCTCAGTCCACTCAAACTCGGTCGAGCCTACACAACACGAACGTAGGCCCAACAGTTAGAAAGAAAGTAAAAAGTTATTAAAATAATTATATGGAAATCTTTAAAATTATATAAAGATGAAGTGTTGAAAAATTGATTTATACCTTAAAATATACTTAGAAAATAAAAAAGTGAAGTTACACAAATTATTAGCAAAAAACCTGAAAAATCATATAGA